TTTCACTTTAATTTTCTTACTAGTCTAATAATGTTAGAAACTAAATACACTTACGTGCTATGTAATGTTGGAGTATAGCAAATTTTGTTTTGTGTGCTTGCAATCGATTTTATTCTGTATTTATCATTGACAAAATTACTTGGTTTTTTCCCACAAACGTATATTTACATGAATCAATGAAGCATGACTTTTTCATCATGTAAACGACTTTTTCGACCATGTGTTCGTCATAAAATACGTTTCGTTTTTCATATATTCTACTTCTTCCTTTTTTACCTTACCTTTGCGTTTCGTGTTGTTGCAATGATAAAATATACACTGATACTTGTATAAGCGTAAATTTGAGTTATAATGATTCATTAGACTTTGAACTTTATTCTAATATATATAAGTATTTTCTATCGTAAAATTTTTTTTGAAATTGATAATTATAGAAGTAGTGTTGAAAGCTTCAAAATAAATAAATGAAAAATTTTATATTTTTTATTTTATCGTTCGATGTATGAAAAACTCTATTTATCACTCAAACTTCGTTAGATGCATCCGAAGAAAGTATGGCGAATGTGCTTTAAGAAGACTCAGGCATTTTGAGAAGTGGGTGTGAGTGTTTGTATTGCTTATCCCTACACATCCCGACCCTCAATTATTTGGTTTAAATATCTAAGAATTTCAATCATAATCAAGCAATAATCAACAATCAATGAATAGAAGTAAAAATATTGATACAAATCAATAACATCTTTCAATCAGTATTCAACAAATAATGAATGACTTTAATTTCAATGTAAATCTTTTTTTAATGTGTTGATATGGTATGTTACATTTGTTTACAACATAATGATCATAATGTTGTATCAAGTTCATCGCAAACACATGAAATTATACTTAAATATTCAAATTTATTTGATTTTGATCAATTATTAATTTCAACTCAAATTGGATCTATAGAAGAAATTCATGTTAGTGAAGCCTGAAAAACAGGTAAATATTGAGGAAAAAAACAAGAATTTTTTTTTTCTAAAACAATAGCTTATTCAACATATCAACGTTGATTTATTGAAATGAATGATGAATTCGATTCAACATCAATGATTAATAATGAAAAATGAATATCAGCTGCTAAACTTGTTCATCAATTATATTTTTTTTTTCCGATTAGATATATACTAAATATGGATGGTACGATAAAAAGTGATGATGAATCATGTATTAGTGTTAAAAGTGCTATACCAATATGTCTATCGTATTTATAAACAATTTGATCCATTTGTTTATCTTACTAAAAGTATGTTTAATTCTTGTTTGACTTTTTTTTATAATCCAAAATTATTTCTAATGTCGTAACAGTAGGAGGGTCTAGGTGAAGGGAATTGTGGCAGAGTTTAGTTGACTTGGCTTCAATTGATTAAGGTCTCAAAGTTTTAGTGAAAGTTATCTGATAGATATGACAATTTCACTATTAAATTGTTGAAACATATATATATATATTGGAATCTGAAAATTCAAGAAGGGAGATTTCTCGATATTGATTCAGCAGCTCTAGTCCTATTTCTACTTTTAATTTTTTTGAAACCAACAAAAGACTAGAACATTATCAGACTCGAAACGATATCAAGTAAAACATTTTATTGAAGCTCAAAGCCTGCATTTATACATCAGAGATTGAAATTATACAATCACATAACTACCTCAAAAAAGTTCTAAGCCGAAGTTTGAGATATGAAATCAATTGTATCCTCTAAGAAGTTTTTCATTAGTCTTTGAAGATTTCTGATTAAATAAAAATTTTGTAACTGATATGAAATTTCCTAATGAGAAAAATGAAATTCTCATCTCTATATGACTTGTAATACATTAAAATTTATCGAACATCAAGGTATCTTTTTTTTCCTTTCTTTAAGATATTACATATCTTTTATCTTTATGTGAACATGGTGATCTACATTTACGTGGTGCATGTGCAAGTTTACTTGCTACATTAATTCAAACAACAATTCATCTTTTATTAAACAATGTTCACTTGTATCAACTGATTCACAAGACAGTTCAAGGTTATATATCTTAATGATAATAATGCACGTGTTATACATGTTTCATTAAATGCTTTACGAACATTATTACCTTTTTTATTAATTAATAGCCATGCATTTACAATCATAGGAATTAAATTATTAGAAGATTCTATTCAACATACTAGAAGTTCCTGTATTCTTGCTAAAGTAGATAAAAGAAATTTATGCTTATAATAATTTTTTTTTTGTATGTATATAAAATAGGTTAGTCTAGCTCAATTTATAGATGATATTGATTTTCGAATATTCACTTATCTTGAACAACAACAAAAACAATTAAAACAATATATCCTGATATACGTGTTCGTCAAGCAACTGCTACGACTTTTGCTAAGTATGTATTTTGTAGAGATAATAACTACGTAGCTTTTTTCGAATTTGAATGAATAAGTCGATTTTATTACATTAAGTTAGTTATTAGCTACTTTTTGATTTTAAGGTTTGTTGATCACAATTCATTTTTACCATGTCAATGGATATATAAAATTCATCATTCATTACAAGCTCAAGCATCAACTCGAATACAAATTGCTTGTTATTTTTGTCTTTTATATAGATTGGATGTTTAGAAGATATTTATGTTCTTTTAAAAGTTTTAAGACCAACAACAATTCGACCAATTTTTTCATAATCAATATGATGAACTTCGTTTATTTATAAATTTTTTTAAACATCCCTTTATATGACATGATCTTAATAATTTAATCTTTTCAAGTAAAGAGAAAAAAAAAAGATATTTATTATGTTTTTTTATAATTCTCTCTTTATTTGAAGATTTATCAAATCTCAGCAAACGAAAAAATGTTTTGAAAGTAGCACAAATGATTCAAGTAATTCGAAAAATTGAACTATTTTATCATCATTCTTTTGAACAGAATATAGTTGATATTTCAGTTTTCACAGAAGAAAGGAGTTCTAAAGTGTTAGATTTGAAGAATATATTTGATCATGTTTCGTCTGAATGAATTCATTTGTTTTTTTCTTTTTAAAGAGAATGATAAAGATTCATCAACAACATCAAGCACAGAAAGTTAAAAAAAGTTAATCATATACAATTAGGTACTTTTGGAAATTATTCGAATTAATATGTTCATAATATCAAATACATAAAAGTTTATTAAATTCATCAGAAATGAT